AATATGCTAATGAATGAATTAGCTATGCTAATTATGCTAAGTAAGAATTCGAAAAAAATACTTTAAACAAAAGGAGAATTTAAAAAGACCACTTAAGATTTCTTGAAAAGCTAACTGTTTTCTATTGTATTAGTGGACACAATGCGTGTTTTGAACATACTAACACGTATAATAACAGATAGAGTTGAGCTTATTAGGTAATTATTTGCACAAAATTTATAAAAGAATCTAACGCAATATTTAAGAACCAACCGTTTGCAACTCAATTGAGTAATAAAATTACAACACTTTAATTGAGTTGCAACGGGGTTCAAGGCCCATTTGTATTTCTTGTAATATTAAAGTTTGTTTAAATTTTTTTTAATTTACTACAATAATACAGTTTTTATGTTAATTAACATTAAATTTTAATATACGATGGCATGACATGCTAAAAATTTCAAAAATCTAGCTACTCTGAAGGAAGTTAAAATTACACGATAACGGACAAACAACACGTGAATACTTTATAAACTGATAAAGTATTGTGAAAAGAAAAAAGATAGTAAAATAGCTAAAAGCTTACGACATGATTAAGGTGGGGAGCACATTAGAAGGTGAGTTGAAACTCTCCAGCCCAAAATTAATATCAACGCAAACGAGTTTTCAAAGTTAGTTTAAATATAACGATCACTTCATCACTAATTAATAAAGTTTTCTATTGTTTGAATGAATTCTTACATTTAAAGGTAGATCTCGTTACAAAGTTAAGGTAATTTTTAAAAGCTGATTTATTCAAAATTTAAAAACTAATGTTTACATAAATATCATAAATTCATTATTCAAGCATATATATAAGCACAATGGTAGCTAACATTAAATATTTGTTTTCCGTAGATTTAAGTGTTCATTTCGCAATATTAAGCCTTTAGTTCAGATGGGTTTTCTATCTCGTCTTGGTATTTAGTTATGAATCAAAAGGAAAGCTTTCAACTTAACCTCTCGAATTCATTTTTATCAGTAAGCACCAACGGGAAGGTAGCCAAGTTCCGCTTACCGCCCTAAAAGAAAAAAAAAAATTAGCATTGGGCAATTTTATTCAGTGCATCACTATTTTACACTCGATTTCATTACAGAACTATAGAAGAACTATTAGTTCTCCATATAGCTATATATATTAAGCCCTAACGGCTTATACCACAAAAAGGCTCTATAATTAGTATGCCGATTACAAAAAGGTATAAGCAGTTCAATGTCAAAATTATTACAAGCACCATTACACAAACACATCAATTAGGGCATTTTATACCAGTACACAAATAACAGTATATTTGTGCCAAACTAAGAATACGTGTTATCAAAATGGTATAAATGTCTACGTCTATAGCAAAGACATAAAACTGTATAAAATTACGTGTAAAATAGTTTATTGCAATAAAACTAATGTCACATTAATCATAGATGAGTATTTGACTTTATGAAAATCCTGGAAATTTTTTTTCCAATGAAAATCCCGGAAAATTATTTTATTAAAACTTGATCGACAAACGGAATTTAGATTATTTAAACTTTTACAAAAAGGGATTTATAATATTCGAAAAAGTTTGAATGAATTGAAAAGCAAAAAAAAAAAAAGAAAAAGAAAATTAATTGTTACGAAAATTGATCTGGTGCAAATTTCAATTATAGAAAACATATTTGTTTAAATGCAAAAGTGGTCGTATGTAACATTTTATGCAAAAATATATTAACTTTTTTTCAAAAAACATCCGGAAATTTCTGGAAAAATTAAAGGTGTTTTAAGTGAATTTCTGGAATTCCGTGAATTTCCGGGAAAACTAATCTATGATTAATTAGCAACAAAAGTGAAATAATTTAGGAATATTGAAAAGTGTTTTTAAATTACTTGCAGATTACATCATTTGAGGTTATAAATACAATACAACCTCAAAAAAGCCTCAATATATTGACAAACTTCTGTTACAGCTGTAACAATTCCAAAGTTCATCTTCTTTTTCAAAGGCACTTAATGGAATTCGTTCGCATTCACGATGATACCATTTTTTGCAAGTGTTACATTCAGCCATTTGTCTTTGAAATAATTTTCAATGTCATTTATATTACATATTTATATTATTTTACATATTTATATATGTAATTGTTTCTTTAAATATTAAATTATTTAAAAAAAAATATTTTACCTGCTGAAGATTTTATCGTCTTTAGGAGACCAAAACATGCGCCAAGAGCAATGTAGAAGAACCCGCAATGTCCTTGCTGCACATCTGCGAAACACATTTGGATTAACAGCGGTAGGAAAAACATCTAACCGGTTATTCACTATACAATGTAGTAGATGCTTCCGCATTTGTTTTTGATCAAATGTCATTGCAGTTGAAGGTATACCCTTTGTTTCAAGAATTTGTCTAGCCCAGGCAATAGCAAAAAGCCCACAATCAACACCATTAGTTTGTTGTTGCACAGGTAATTTTATTACAAGATATTTTAGCTCTGTATGTAAAATGGAGCATATTTGCTTTTTCGTGTCGTAGGAAACCGAACCACAAAAAAGACTGTCAAAAATGTATATCTCCCCTGGATTGCAATCATACGTAGTTACACAAACCCAGTGGAGATTTCCATCATGTAGAATTTGAACAAACGGACTGCTCTTCAGAATCTCAAACGAAAGAACTTTTCCTTTAATTGGATCTTGCAAACCAATATTGATACCCAATTGTACTGACATAATTTGCTGACAAAAGTGAATAGTGTTATCATTAAGCATTTGTTCTTTTTCAATTTCATTCAATTCTATATTTCCAATCAAAGAAGATTTCAGATGTTTTATATGCTGTAAATTGCTTTGATGTTCTTTATTGACATCAAATGCAGTAGACTCTAACAACTCATGGGAATCATCTGACGAAATTTTTTCAATTTCAATAAAATCATTGGGAACTGTAAATATTTTACAATTATCATCAATAGTGTGACTTGTAATTATTTCAGAAATACAAGATTTCCTATTTTCTAGAACATTAATATCAGAGGCTGTTTTATACATGTCATACTTTTTGCCAACTCGTTTAATCATTTTCCTTTTGCGTTTTACTGGTAGCTGACAAAGGCTAGGTAAATTTGATTGAGACTTGTTCTAAATATCTGGTTTATTTTCTAGACGCAGGAGAATCCCTTGTTTAGCTGGGAGATGTTCTGCTAAGTTTTTTTTAAGACAACAAAGCTCTTCAAACAAATTATCAATAGCTACTTGAGAGCTGCATAAATATGTCATTTGTCTAATTTCATTTAAAAGTTCACGACATTTTTCAGCAGTATGTTTATTGATTTGTAGATTGCAACTTCGTTCAGTATAACCAAGGGTATTAATTGTGTTCATTAATTGAACACTTTCTACCATCTGCACACATGACTTAACTGGTAGACCTTGCAGTGATCTTTCATGTGCTAAAAAATTGTTTTGCAACAAAGTGTCGGTGGAATTTAAAAACCCTTTAGCCAACTCTGCAGGTTCTTTTTCATCTGGAAATAAATCTAGTTTGAAATAGGGTGAGTCAGAGTATATGGTATCAAACGCTGACCAAGTGAGGTTTTCTTTAAGGAAAATAGCAAAAAAATGTTTACATGGATATGCGGTATCAAACCAACTTGGACAAGAACAAGTCGGCATATTTTTGGCATCACCAAGGTAGCGTTGGTATATTTCTCTACTATTTAAATTGAACGAAGCAACATTGTACAACTGTTCACCTACAGATACTATTCCTCGCAAGTCAACACCTTGTAATTTATCTATGATTCTCATGCAATGCTTGACTAAAGGGTGTGGACGATTAATTAAATACTCTGGTATATTGTTATTGTATTTCCGGTATGATGAATGGGCCATTCTATTTTTATCACAGTAGCTAAATATAATAATAATAATAAATAATAGTGTATGACAAATGTTTTTTAATTAAACAATGTAATTTAATATTTTAACACAAATTATGTTATTTAGTATTTTTTTTGTTGATATTCTTATATCAGCGCTACTCGCTTTTATTTAGCAGAATTTTAAAGAAAAAAGAGAAGATTTAAAAAAAAAAAAAAAAAAAAGAATATTATTTTTTATAGCGAAATTTTGTAGTCAATATTTCTTTCAGTTTTTCATAAATATAATAAGCTTAAAAAAAATTTAATTAAAGGTTATTTAAAATTCGCATGAACACTGCAGTGTCAACTAACCTGTCATAATTGTGAGGAAGGAACTCTTCGATGCAAATACTAAGCATAGATGTTAGTGAAGAATTTTTTCTTTTTTCCAGGAAACTGTATTTGAAAGATTGGTTTTGTCTTTCAATGCCATTGTTGGTGTTGACATTTAGCAAGAGCCGATCTTGCCTGTAAGCAAACACCCATCTCTAAAAAAGAAAGAGGCTACTGCCTATTAAAACTATGATTTCTCAATGATTTAAAAAATTCTAAATTTTACATTAATTCTTTATTATGTTATCACTAACATGCAGACATAGATAGTCAATACAATGAAAATATATTAATGAAATATTTCGCAGACATTCAACATTGGGAAAAAAACCGGCCAGGTTTTTAAACATAATTTAAAACTGTTACATAAAAAAAAAATGTAAATCTGACTTATTTTTGTATTGATTTATTTTCGATTTAACAGTAATATTTTCTATAAATCTTATTAAATAAACCTTTTAATTTATTTTTAATTTATTTGAGAATTTCATTGTGAAAAACTTCATATTAAAAATATTGAGTTAGAATTGAAACGTTTTCCTTTAAAGCTAGCTACTATAAAATGCTCATATTTTTAGAAACGTTGATTGGTTCATACAATTAGAAAATATCTTTAAACTTATTAAATAATATCTATAAACAGTATCAAATAAAAAAGCCCTTAAAAAAACATCTTAAACGAAAGAAGCAAGTTCTTTCATTTAAGATGTATGTTTTAGGTTATTTTGCCACTCTTGTGACTCCTCTAATTAGCAATTAGCAATTTTGGAAAGCCATCGTTCCCAAGCTTGTTCACGATGAAAATCACAGATATGCACTCGACATCCTAGTAAATAAATCAATTATTAACTTTAAAAATGATTACATTATTGGTTGTTTGTTAGAATTGAATACATTGTAAGAACTATTAATAGTACATTTATATATAAAAAAAACATTTTCAAAAATGATACCAACAAAAACTGATTCAAGTGAGTTTATCTCTTCATTGCTGTAATCCGTAAAAAAATAAGTTGGTTGAAATGATGGATTCCAGTCTTTAATGCACATTAGTGCTTCTGTAATTGCCTCAGTTGTTTCATTTTCACACACAAAAATGGCAACTATTTGGTAATCGATGTTTGTTTTAACAACAAGAAAAAAAAGTGGAAGAGCATATCGAGTTGTACGATATGTTGCATCCAGAAAGGCAAGCTCATTCCCATATCGTAAGAGTAATCTTTATTGCCATGCATCTTGATATACAAATAAAAAAGAATCTTGAAGATTCTGACCATTTTCGTCAGGATTGCATTCACCTTTTGGTCTAAACAATATCATGGAATCTGGAAAGTAATGTTTCCATTCGATGATCTTTTCACGCAAACATTCTTGATCTATCATAGACCTACGAAGATTTTGTCAAGCTTTCTTTATATGATTAGCAATTGTTTCATCTCGTGGAAAAAATCTTTTGTTGGATTTCTTTGGAATGTTATTTGAGTTAAATTGCATATGAACAAAGGCATTCAGATGACGCCTCATTTCTGGAACTGAAATGACACCGTTTTTAACAAGTTCACCAATTTTATTAATGATTTCTTTAGATAAGGACTGATTAAGACCTGCCTTCTTTAAAAAAATATATATATAAAAAGAGAGAGAGAGAGAGAGAGAGAGAGAGAGAGAGAGAGAGAGAGAGAGAGAGTAATACTAAAAAGTTATACTTTAAAAATACTAAAAAGGTAGTCGTTAAATTTTTTTTTGAAAAAATAAGTAAAAAATAAATTTGTAAGTTCATCAAGTATGACTTACATCATTAATTAGATGATTATTATGAACAGAAATGTCTGGTAACAATAAGATATATTTTCTAAGTATAGTTAACTTATTTTGAGTAGCTAAAACTTAGTGCAGTTTCTTTGAAGCTTCTCTTCTTAGATATAAAGAATCTCTTTCTAGCTACAATAAAAGCAAACAAATACTTAAAATTGGTAAACAAACAGAAAAATAACATTTGAAGTTTTACATCCATGTCCCCACATTTGCTTTTGAATGGTTTGCTACAAAGACATTTTCTTATTTTCAGGGCATTATGAAAGAGCTGAATCAAATTTAAAAAGGCAGGTGTCAGCGCAACCTGTTTGTTAAAAACTAACCTGCTTGGATCAGGCCTAATCTGTAAAGTATCAACAAACAAATAGTATCTAGACATCAATCAAAAAAAATTTTGAATGTAAAACCTTGAAGTAATTGCTCTTTTTGTTGTATTTTAATAAATTTTAAACAGATCATACCTTAAAATCAGGGAATTCTATTATTTCTTTTATAGTAATGTTGGCGAGACAATCAAATTTCTTGGTATCCTGCAAAAATATTCGCTTTTTCTGGCAAGAATGATCTGTTGCCTGTGTATTAGAAAAAAATATAATTTAAATAGCATTAATTAATTTAGTTCAACATGAAAAATTATATTCTAAAAATTACAATGATTATATATTTTTCTTTTATAATATGTAATTCTTGTACTGTATGTAAAAAAAACAAAAAAACTCTTTAGCAACCAACAATTAAGTTCAAAACTATACTTACAGCTTCTAGGTTTTTTTTCATTCTGTTTTTAGATTTTGATGCACAATTTTTATCTTTTCCTTGTTGGCAGTCAAGAGTACAACATGATGAAATAATGAAGGGTATCCCTGTGTAGGGATAATCTTTATGCTCAAAATATACCTTGTGATTTTTCTTCATAATGTCTAAATAAAAACAAGTTTAATTAAATATGATAACTTAAAAGCAGGGATGCCTAGTTGTATAGAACTAAGTTAAGTTAAATTAAATCACTGAAAAGTCTAAATAGATTTGAACTATAATAAATTTACATTTACAAAAAATATAAAAACCTTCAATATTTTTTTCCATATTTTTTTTGAAAGCTACAACGTAATGCACTGTGTACAGCATTTCATGTTCTTTTATTTTTGCACAAACATCTGCATATGTAGTTAAAACGTGTTTAACTTCTAAACCTCCAGCTGAATTTGAAAAAACAATGTTTGAGTTACAATCAACTTAATAATAAGTAAATTAGAAATTACGAGGATATTGACAATAAATGCAATAATTTTATATAAAAATCATACAACATTTTACTGATAAAATTAATATTTTTGACAACATGAATCACTGCAATAACTGTTACACTCATGCCAAACAACTACCCCCTATTGCATTCAAGTTCCACTCATTGTCCTCCGGTCTCAGCAACATTGCCTTGAGAAAAGTCCTTTTGAGTTAACAAAAAGGGATACTGTTGTTGGATCCCAGTTTGGGATGAAACCTAGAGTGTCTCTAATGTTTAAGCTGTACCACTCGATTCAAGTTCATACATAACTATCTTTGAGACATCCATAAATTTATAATGTAGGTTTATTTAGCTAATAATACACATACATAGTATCCATTTACAAAAAGAATAATTATGCTCAATGACTGATTTTTTGTCGCATCATATTTACAATAGCAGTCTACAGTAACAGCTATTAATAACCATTACTTCTAAGGACTTATTTGTTCATTTTTAGTTTTTTATTAAATGTATATCAAAACAAAAATTTCTTTTAACTGTTGTATAGAGTATAACATTACTATTAAAAAATTTTTAAACCATTTATTCTTAAAAAATATTCTATTTTGATTCATCAAAGTTTGTCTATTAATAATTCAAGCATAAATATTTGTCAATATATCACTCTTAAAGCTTTGACTTGCTGTTTATTCAACTACATTAAACTCAATACTCCACTGTCAATTGATTTACAATAATAATAATGATAATAATAAATAATATAATAATTACATTTACATCAAACATTTACATTAAAGAAATTTTTTTTTAAAAAAAGCTTTTTTTAAAACTTTCTCTAAACACTATTTTTAAACTTAATTGATACATTATATTTAAAGAAATCTAAAAGAAGAAAATGTCAATAAGAAAATGATTACCTGATAACTCTTCTGAATTTAGAAAACATTCGTGTTCACTCATTTTTATTTGAATAGACGCTTCAAAAACTTGTATAAGGCGAACTAAGTCGGTTAGCAAAGCTCGTTTATTAGTAAATTTAGCGAGGATGATCCAGAATAAGGTTTAAGCCCGTTCTCCATTCAGAACTTTTTGCGCTTTGGAGGAGCGGAAAAGTTCTTTGATCATGCGCAAAAAGTTCTGATTGGAGAACGGGTTTAAAAAAACTGTTTGCGCATGCTCAAAGAACTTTTCCGCTTCTCTAAAGCGCAAAAAGTTCTGAATGGAGAACGGGCTTTACAGTTTGAACGCATGCGTAATAGCAACTCTTCCCGTTCTAGGTCTGCGTTTTTTTGAAAATTCAAAACCTTATTTTGGATCATCCTAAAGAACGCTTACCTAACTTGGTTACGTAAAAATACATAAATAAGTTATGTATTGTAATGATATTACAATAGTATTGTAATAGCATTGTTAATACATAACTTGTTGTAAGTATTATATACTTATTGTTAATTATTTACAATGCATAACTTATTATTAGTATTGTAATGCATGGCAATACTAATAATAAGTTAACGTACTAGTTATAATATTTAAGAATATAATATGGATATGATTAATAATATGATTAACTCAATTAAGTTTGTCCTACAAGGATAATTTCAATTGAGTAAATTTTTTATATTATATAAATCTAGGATTCCTACTGTTTATAATAGTAGGATCCTAAATTTATAATAGTGTTATAAATTCTTCTTATGCCCTAAGCCATAATAGATAATATACTCTAAAGTATTTTAACTAATAATATTTCAATCTTATTATAAAAAGAAACTTGAGTCAAATAAATAGTATATATTAATCTAATGGAATATAACATGAGTATTATATAATTTGTGTGTAGCAGTTTTAATGACTGCTTAATTAAGTGGCATTTAATTAAATAAAATAACTAACTATCATTAAGATTGTTAACTTTACAATTTTGCTGATTGACAAGTTTGCTGAAAAGTTAACATTAACAAGTTTATATTTTACTATTCATTAGATAAAATATAGCATAATATACGCCTATTGATATATAATATCTAACATGACTTTCAATATAACTGTTATATCATATGTCAATGTCATTGTAAGGTTTTATTATAACAATTTAATATTACAAGTTTTGAAATATATAATGTGACATTATATATATTATAAATTAAAGCATTTCAATTAATTCGAATACTTTATTGTATAATATATAATGCCACATTATTTATTATAATTATTTGTGTAATTTATATACAGCCAGCATTATATATGCTATACATAAATAAAATATTGTAATTTCATTAAAATAAAATGTAAAGCAAGACAGGAAAATGTTATTTTTTTAAAATTTTATACAATCTTATTTTTCTAATATATAATATTTTTTTAATCGTATTATTCATAATATTATTTAATTAAAAATAAATTAACAAGTAAATAATACATAATAATGTTTTTTAAAAACATACTAGGAAAACTAGACAGTTTATAGTTTTTAGCATCGCCAATGCTAGAAAAACTAGATAATGTTTTTTTGTCAATATATGTTTCGTGTTTAATATTTAATAAACATTTAATAATGTTTAAGATTATTTAAATACATTTTGTTTTTATAATAATATTTTTATTTATCAAATTTCAGATTAAATACTTTCATGTTTAAAAGTTTATGTTTGAGAGTTTATGTTTTATATTTAGTACCTCTGCGGAAATATCTTAAAGGTGGACACCCTGTAATATTCAATTATTTGTTCGCTTATTTTTTTTGATTTTACAACTCTTAAAAAATAATAAGTAACAAATTGAAGTTATGTAAAATAAAATACTCTATAAATGAATACTCTATAAAATACTCTAGAAATTAACAAAGAAATACAATCAGAGTTCAATGTCATCACAAGGTTTATATAATATAAGTTGTAGTAATATTTAACAAAGAGATTTAGTTTTTTAATTCGACCTCACCATAAGGAATATTTAATATAAATCATAATTAAATTCAACATAAAGGTTTTGTTTTTGAATTTAGTGTCACCATTTAGAATTTATAGTATAAATGTCGAATTTTAACTTAAAAATACAATCAGAGTTTAATATCACCACAAGATATATATAATAAAAGTTGTAATACATAGAGATTTTATTTTTGAACTTGGAGCACCATAAAGAATATATAATAAAAATCATGATTAAGTTTAACATTAAATACAATAATAGTTTAATGTCATCGCAAGGTATAAATAATATAATTTGTAATAATGTTATACATTGAGATTTTATTTTTGAATTTGACGTCACCATAAGGAATATGTAATGTAAATCATGAATAAATTTAACATTAAATACAATCAGTGTTTACTGTCACCACAAGTTATATATAATATCAGTTGTAATGATTTTTAACACATAAATTTTATTTTTAAATTCAGGGTCAACGTAAGGAATATATAATATAAATTGTAATTAATATCAACATGTTGATTTTATTTAAGAATTTAGTGTCACCATAAGGAATATAAATCGTAATTAAATTCAACGTAGAGATTTTGTTTTTGAACTTGGCTTCACCATAAGGAATATATAATATAAATCATGAATAAATTTAATATTAAATACAATCAGAATTTATTTTCACCACAAGGTATATCAGGGTGGCCACAGCTCTTTTAAAATCCTCTTATCTCCTCTCTTTCTTATAAAAGATTTTGTGGCCACCCTGTATATATAATATCAGTTGTAATACGTTTTAATACAGAAATTTTATTTTTGAATTCAGGGTCACTTTTACAAATATGTAATATAAATAATAATTAAATTCAACATATTGATTTTATTTTTGAAATTAGTGTTACCATAAGGACTATATAATATAAATAGTAACAAAATTTAATATAGAAATACAATCAAAGTTTATTGTCACCACAAGGTATACATAATATAAGTTATTAAAATGTTTAACATTAAGGTTTTATTTTTGAATTTAGAGTTATCCTAAGGAATATATAATATAAATCATATTTAAATTCAACATTATTACAACTTATATTATATATACCATATGGTATATATAATATAAGTTGTAATAATGTTTAACAGAAATTTTATTTTTGAATATAGTGTCACCATAAGGAATATATAATATAAATCTTAATTAGATTCAACATAGAGATTTGATTTTTAAATTTAGTGTCACCATAAGGAATAGATAATATAAGTCACAATTAAATTCAACATATTGATTTTATGTTTGAATTTAGTGTTTGAAGGTAGCCATTCATGCAATATAAATAGTAATAAAATTTAACATAGAAATACAATATAATATAAATAGTAACAAAATTTAATATAGAAATACAATCAAAGTTTATTGTCACCACAAGGTATATATAGTATAAGTTGTAATAATGTTTAACATTGAGATTTTATTTTTGAATTTGGTGTCACCATAAGGAATATGTAATGTAAATTATGAATAAATTTAACATTAAATACAATCAGTGTTTACTGTCACCACAAGTTATATATAATATCAGTTGTAATAATTTTAACACATAAATTTTTGTTTTTAAATTCAGGGTCAACATAGGGAATATATAATATAAATCATAATTAATATCAACATTGTTTTTATTTTTTAATTTAGTGTCACCATAAGGAATATAAATCATAATTAAATTCAACGTAGAGTTTTTTTTTTTTGAACTTGGCGTCATCATAATGAATATGTAATAAAAATTATGAATAAATTTAATATTAAATACAATCAGAATTTATTGTCAACATAAGGTATATCAGGGTGGCCACAGCTCCTTCAAAATCCTCTTTTCTCCTCTTTTTCTTATAAAAATTTTACGTGACCACCCTGTATATATAATATCAGTTGTAATGCGGTAGTGGTGTAGTGGTAGTGGGAGAGGTTCCGAGTTCGATCCCCACCACATCCCTGGCAGTACCGCGCTCAACTCGTTTCTCCGTGCAGCGGCCTTGCTCGTCTAGGTTCGTGTTTGGAAGTTATAGAGTTGATAGAGGGTTATAACCACAAATAAGTAGCCTCCTCGCCTGTAGTGGTCTTGAGCATTGAGGTGGTGAATTAATAATAATAATAATAAAAATACTTTTTAATACAGAAATTTTATTATTGAATTCAGTGTCACCATAAGAAATATGTAATATAAATGATAATTAAATTCAACATATTGATTTTATTTTTGAAATTAGTGTTACCATAAGGACTAATATAATAAATAGTAACAAAATTTAATATAGAAATGCAATCAGAGTTTATTGTCACCACAAGGTATACATAATATAAGTTGTTAAAATGTTTAACATTGAGGTTTTATTTTTGAATTTAGAGTTATCCTAAGGAATATATAATATAAATCATATTTAAATTCAACATAGTATAAATAGTTATACAATCATAGTTTAATGTCACAACAAGGTATATATAATATAACTTGTAATAATATTTAACATAGAGATTTGATTTTTGACTTTAGTGTCACCATAAGGTGACACTAAAGTCAAAAATATATGATATAGATAGTAATAAAATTTAACAAAGAGATCCAATTATATAGTTTTATATCGCCAAAAGGAATATATAATATAAATGATAAAATAATTTAACATTGAGATTGTATTTTTAAATTTAGTGCCACCATGAGGAATATATAATATAAATAATAATAAAATTTAACATAAAAATAAAATCAGAGTTTAATGTCACCACAAGGTATATATAATATAAGTTGTAATAATGTTTAATATAAAAATTTTATTTTTGAATATAGCGTTGCTGTAAGGAATATAAATCATAATTAAATTCAACATAGAGATTTATTTTTTGAATCTAGTGTCACCATAAGGAATATATAATATAAATACTAATAAAATTTAATATAGAAATACAATCAGAGTTTATTGTCACCACAAGGTATACATAATATAAGTTGTTAAAATGTTTAACATTGAGGTTTTATTTTTTAATTTAGAGTTATCCTAAGGAATATATAATATAAATCATATTTAAATTCAACATAGTATAAATAGTTATACAATCATAGTTTAATGTCACAACAAGGTATATATAATATAACTTGTAATAATATTTAACATAGAGATTTGATTTTTGACTTTAGTGTCACCATAAGGTGACACTAAAGTCAAAAATATATGATATAGATAGTAATAAAATTTAACAAAGAGATCCAATTATATAGTTTTATATCGCCAAAAGGAATATATAATATAAATGATAAAATAATTTAACATTGAGATTGTATTTTTAAATTTAGTGTCACCATGAGGAATATATAATATAAATAATAATAAAATTTAACATAAAAATAAAATCAGAGTTTAATGTCACCACAAGGTATATATAATATAAGTTGTAATAATGTTTAATATAAAAATTTTATTTTTGAATATAGCGTTGCTGTAAGGAATATAAATCATAATTAAATTCAACATAGAGATTTATTTTTTGAATCTAGTGTCACCATAAGGAATATATAATATAAATACTAATAAAATTTAATATAGAAATACAATCAGAGTTTATTGTCACCACAAGGTATACATAATATAGGTTGTTAAAATGTTTAACATTAAGGTTTTATTTTTGAATTTAGAGTTATCCTAAGGAATATATAATATTAATCATATTTAAATTCAACATAGTATAAATAGTAATATAATTTAGCATAGGGGTTATATTTTTGAATTTAGTGTCGCCATAAGGAATATATAATATAAATACAAGTCTTCCCGGGAAAGGCGTGCGGTCGCACACCTTGTATGTCCACACCTTTTACTTTTTTACACCCTAATACTGTTTTTAGACTCACTGACCATGGCAGTTCGCATATTTTAACTAAAACTTTTCAATAATTCATGGCTTCTAAAACTTTTCTATAATTCATGGCAAAATGCTAAACTTATTTACTTAGAAAAAAAAAAACAATTCTTAAATAAGGAAAAAATTACTCAATGCAACTAAGGCCTGGTACATGTTTTTCCGTACAAAAATATAAGTTTTTTCAATAACAATATATGTAAGTTTTTTCATCACATATTTTGTATGTGTGAAAGATTATTTTAGCCACTGTTTCAATCTAGTAAGAGTAATGTGACTATAACAAATTGTCAAGCGTAGTTTTATTTAGAAAAGATGAAGTTTTCAACATAAAGTACCTTGGGGCTTGGCTATAGATAAGTCTATAAATTTGATTTTGTCATAAAAGCTCTTATTGGTGCTTTTTTTCAATGAATGTAATTTGACATTTTTAATCAGACATTATTTGGGAAAATTAGCATGAAAAATCATTTATGAAAATTGAAGTTACTGTTTTCAATACCACACCTAAATAAGTATGTTTATAAATAATATCATGTTTGATTTAGATAACCTATGGTAGTTTTAATTTTTCTACCGAAGTCGTTTTTGCATAAATAATCATAATCTTTAAAAAACTTATTTTCTTATTTTTGTTAACTATTTCTTTCAGTATCGATGCTACTAACCAGGTGGACTCGCTTGGAAAAATGGTGAATGACTCACCAATAAATTTTGCTAACTCAATAATGAAGAGAATTGTTATTTTAAGTTGTGTCCATCTCTGCCTGTTTGCTTTAAAGTCTATTGATATAGGGACAGAAATTAGGTTCACTTTCATTACTTTCACTTTTAGATAATGCTAATGTAAATAAGAGTTCTAGCTTTTTGAAGTTAAACTCTTTATATAAAGTATTTTCCGTGAAAGTCAAATTTATAATTTTTCACAGGTATGATTATGGTGATCATGATGAATTGATGCATTGGAGAAAGCAGGTAAATATTTTATTTAGTCAATGTTGTCATTTAAAATTCATTAAAAATATTCTTTGAATTTTTTTTTTAATATGTTGAAAAGGTTTTTCTTTCACTTCATTTACCTAAGTTTTCAATTTTCTTTTTCTTAATTCAAATTATGTGTGTGACGGTCATTTGGTACAACTTAACAATCTAATCATTCAATTAGGCTAATTTTTTTAAACTTTATATATTTACATTTTAGTACATTTTTTCATTAATTTCTTATAGTAATTTTTATCAGTTTAGATATTTAGTATTTGTTATATTAATTTTGCAGATGATTGTTTTCATGTAGAAATCATCGTGGCATCCTTATACTCTAGCTCAATTAACACCAGAAAATAATAAAATTTTGGAAGTTTCTAAATTTAATGAAAGTTTACCCCATTCAACTCCAAAGGTTGGTTAAGAAGTTTTATTTTAATTAAAAAATTTTAAGAATTTGTATTTTTAATATTAATTTTGCATATTGTTTGTTTGCATGTAGAAGTCATCATGTATTCCTTATACTCAACCAACATCAGAAAATGAGGAAATGTTTAGAGTTTCTAAATTTAATAAAAGTTTAAACTCCTCAACGCCAAAGGTCGATTTTGAAGTTTCATTTTCTTCAAAAGCAGATATAGTAGATTTGGATTTTTATGATTCAGATTCCAGTATAGAATATCTACCGTCATCACTCAATATTTTGCTAACTAATGCAACTCAAGAAAAAGATAATTTCAACCATAAAAGTAATTTAGAAACAGAACTTTTGCCGTCTGTGCTTAATTGCAGTGGGTATAAAACCCATGCACCAATTGATAGTTTTGGTACAACATTAGATGACTCTTCGGTTGTTGAAACTAATGGTGATGATTCTTCAGAAGAATCAGTTGAATTCAATAATAATGATTCTTTAACAGAAAGAGGTTTTTTAAATAAAAATATAGAAACAATTTGTTTTCAAAAGACTTTTAAAAATAAGAAAGCTTCTTTAATAGAAATGAAATCTAAAATTGAATTCTTAGAGAAAAAGTATAAAAAACCTTCTCGCCCTTGCATGTTTTGCCAAAAGATACAGACAAGATTGAAGCGACATATTCTGAAAAAACACAAAAATGAACCTTTAGTAATACCAATTTTATCTATGAATAAAAAAGAACAAGATAGAGAACTAGATGTTTTGCAAAAGAAAGGGATTAGAAATTATAACTCTGTTATTTTAAAAACAGAAAATAATGAGTTTATGAGAGAGCGTCGTAATTTCAATTGTACGCAAGATATGCCAGTTATGTGCTCTGAATGTAAAAGGTTCTTTTCAAAAAAATTTAAAGCTAGACATCAACTAAATTGTCCAGCAACCAATATAAATGTTATGGTGCCTATTGTTTCTTTAACATCCATAATTAAGGTTGATGAATATCCTGATGATTTTAAAGAACTCTTAAGTACTTTGATACTCGATGAGGTTGGAGATTGTGTTAAAACAGATGAAATTATTTTAATGGTTGGATTAAGGTCATTTGACTCACTTAAAAAAAAAAAAGATAAATTCATAGAAGGTTGTAGAACTGTACGTGCACGAATGCGTTTGTTAGCTCGCATATATCTATTGTTTAAGTTGTACTACAAGCAACAAACAAGTGTTAAACTGGTTTTAGAAATGAATAATGCAGCTGATATGTTCCGCAGGGAAACCATGGATATCTTGAGCAAATCAATAAATAAACTTTGTGAAAACCCTGATACAGAGTTAAAAGAATTCTCTATTTCTGGCCAGAAAAGTGGACTCAAAATAAGTATATTAAATATTATTAAAGGTCTGGTAAAATAATTATAGGTCATTTTTTAGTTCAAAATGAAGATGAAAGATCTAATAGAGTAGTTGATTTTCTAAAGGTATTTAAGTTATTTGAAAACCAAATATTTGGAGATGCATATTATGATCTGAACTACAGGAAAAATAAAAGTTTGCGGAAACCAATAAACTTGCCAAACGATGCAGATGTGATCTTATTATTTGAGGAGTGCAAAGCTATTATGTTGTCGATAGATTTGTATGAGCACCCATTAAGTAATTATGTTAAAATTAGATCTGCGACTGCTACTTATCTAATAATCTTTAATGCTCGCCGAGGTGGAGAACCTGTAAGACTTCAAATATACCAGTGGACTGAAGCTGTTAACGGAGAGTGGGTTATCGAAGGTGACCTTCCAAAAGACTTTGACCATAGTACTATGCTTATAACATACCAAACAGGCAAAGGGGGCAATCATTTAGTACCCTTAATTTTTCCATTAGAAACCATAAAAGCGATAGAGTATTTGACAAATAAAAAAGTTCGTTTAGAAGGTGAAATTCACAAAGAAAACGAATATATTTTTGCTAGCACTCAAAACAGTCTAGGTCATGCTAGTGGTTGGCACTGCATTAATGATATATTAAAACGACTAAATCTTAAAGGAGCAATTAATGCAACAAAAAACAAGCACAGAGTTGCTTCATTACTTGCTAAATTGCATCTTTCAAAAAAAGAACAAGAACTAATATTTCAACATTTTGGTCATTCTGAACGAATGAACAAAGATGTATATCAAGCTCCTCCTGGATCTATGTAATTACAGACAACTGGTCAATTTTTGTTGCAAATTAATTCAAGTAGCAATAATACTTCAGCACAAACTATTTCAAATACTGATGATCTTTCGTGTGTAGCAAGTGTTTCAACTCCCAAGTTGTATGAAGTCAATATGGAAGGAAATGGTAATCATGATTAATAAGTTTAAGACTATGAGTTGATACTTTAATATATGTGTCAGCTTATCATGAGTTTATCATATAAAATTATTATGGCAGTTATTGTTTAGGAATTTTTTAAAATGATTATTAATTATTATTTCTAACAAATTGGTTCCATTTTTATATTTTTATGTGGAAATGATTATCACCATTAGATAAAATTAAAAATGTGAAATGTTATCCTAAACGAGTAAGACTAAAAGGTTGGTTTAATATTTATTCAATACTCTGGTTTTGCTAATATTATATTTAAAATATTGGTATTCAAATTTACACATATTTTGTTTAGCCAATAGCGTTATCAAAAATTCAGGTTCTGGCTGCAAAGAGACACACGTTAGGTTTATAATCGTTTTTATTTATAATTGTTTTTTTATTCATCACGCATAAAAAAATATTAAAATAATTGTTATAAATACTAATATGAAGCATGTTAAATTGAATAATAAAAATAATTGTGATTATAATAAGAATACAATAGGGACAGTCATTAGGACAAAAATCATACAAATTGGAATTAAGTAATTTATTTACAACTTTTTAAATTTCATAAACATTTTTTTAAAACAAGATAAATCGTTTTAATTTCAATGTTTTGAAATATTCATACTAAGTTCATATATCATAGAATTCTTCCTATAGAAAGTTCAATTAATTCAATTAATATAGGAATTCAATTAATATAGGAATGTAATACACATTGAAACTTGTTTATATATGCAACTGCCTTTTAAAAACTCTAACCGTTCTTGTGGAGGTAAATCAAAGAAACTAATGTTTCTACGTTTTTATGTATTATACATATTTATTTCTATATAAATAGTTGTTTCTAGATGAAAATATAGATCAAAACTTAGACGAATGCCATGCCCCTGCTTACAATGATTCTCTTTGTAGTACATCTGAAATAAATAAAAAAGGTTAGCAATAAAAAGTTTTTTTAATTTATGTACAAAGATAATTATTGATATCATTATTTATAGGTGGTGACAATAGAGTTAATAGTTTAATTTCCAAAAAATAACAAGAAAATGTTTATATCCTAAATTAAAATTTGTTCTTTTTTTCTCATTATAATTTATACAGAGGGGTCGCACAAAAAAACATTTAGTAGCTAGAGACTAAATGTACATTAATATAAATTGGATATGATCTTTATAACCATGAAATGCTGTTACTAAAGAGTAATAAGTGATATTTTGTGATGTTTTCATATATTTATTTTAGTATTTATACAAGGTGGCCACAGCTCCTCTAAAATCCTCATTAGTCCTCTTTTTTAAAAAAAAACCTCTATAATCCTATATTATCTAAAAAATTGAAAATATGATCGAATCTCCTCTTTAACTCCTCTTTTTGTTTTTTTTATTTCTTGATGGTAGTATAATTTTGGTATTTGAAATTCTATACCATATAATGGATATTTTAAATACCCATTATATGGCAGTATAATGGGTATTTAAGATACCCATTCCCGGTCAGCAAAACTGGTTAACGCCTTTAAGTGCTTCAGATTGTAAAAAATTGCTTTAGTTATTCCATGCCATTTAACATAAAAAATCACATTATTGACCCCTGTCCAAACCCCATAAATGTAGAAACATGGATATCAAACTTATAGTTATAAAAAAAATCCCATATTTTTTTGAAATTTTGCAAAAAAAATCCTCTAAATTCGATGCAAATTCTCCTCTAAAATCTTCTAATGTCCTCTTTTATGAAAATTTTATGTGGCCACCCTGTTACACATTTTCAGATATTTTCATGGGCTAAAATAACACTTATTACTCTCGAGAGTAACTTGATATTTTGAAAATGAGACTCATGACTTAAAATATCACTTATTACACGTAAAAATATCACTTATTACTCTCGAGAGTATGTGAGAGAATAAAGCTTAGTAAGCAAGAAAATAATGCCTGGGAATAAACGTGTAGGTAGGAATTTTAGTCCAGATCTAATAAACAGGGAGGAGGAATTTAAAAAAAAAATTCAATTTATATTTCAATTAAAAAGTCTTTTTATTTAAATATAAATTCAATTTATATTTAAATTAAAAGTTTTATATTTAAATTAAAAAGTAATTTGATTAATTGAGTTATATTCAAATTAAAAAGTACGAAACAAGATTAAAACTATTTAATTCTAGCGTGGCTTGGGGCAGTTTCTAACAGCATAATTTCAAAAGATTTTTCATAATAATTTTAATATAGTTTAATATGCTTATACTTTGGTGAGAAATAAACCAAGTTCATTTTCGGCAAATCGAAAATCAAATAACGACGATTTTCGTTTTTACCGGTGACTGACAATTATTTTCTAATTTTTAAGGCTGATTTTCACAGATATTTTTTTTAGCTTATGTGATTTTTGTTAATAAGTGAGTACTTTGAGTACCCACTCTTATGGTATACTTCTCCTAGTTTTTAACTATTATTAAAAATACATTTTGTTATAGATCGTAGATACCAAATATGGTCAGAGGTAAGCAAGTCTGCTTTTGAGAATGAATTTGCAAGCTACTTAAAAAAGGATAGCGGTTATCCAAGTATGTTAACGTTGAATACGTTGATTTCAATAATTTGCGTAATTTTCATATGGTTTAATATTGTATCTTATTTCATGTATAACATAAAAAGTATTTATTTGTATATATATTTAATGAGTTTTTTTTTTTTTTACTGATTGCCTTTAGGTCGGTCATATATTGAAAGGTTTGCTTAAAAGTTTGGCATAAACTACTCGCATGTTCAAACAAGAATTGTTAATTGTCGTCGCATTCGGGTAGAAAAATTGAAAAAAACAGCTAAGCTTTTAGAAATCGATGAATGATAAAAATATGGACATAGTTACATTATTTTATGCTGCATTTTGTTTGATTTTATTTCTTACTCGGCGCGCTAATTTTTTCACGTTTGTTTTGAAATTTTTGTTTTCGGTTTTTAATAAAAACACATTCAATAAAAATTGTTTTAGACTATACAAATAAACATAAAAATAATAATTTTTGTTGAGAATTTTATATATCTTAACTCAGTATTTCGATGAACTGCTGCAGAAAACAAACTGCTTTAGAATTTATTTGCATCTCGTTATATCTCCTACATTACTAATTAAATCTGTATACTTCGTAACTTCGTAAAAACATAATATTTCAGTATAGAACTTATCTAAGCTTATAGTTTCAAGAAATTTTTTCCCCCGGAAATATGTTGTTTTACTAATACGCTAAAAGTTTGTTATAAAAGCACCAGTTTATAGTATAAAATGTATGTATGAAACTTTTTAAAAAATAAAGAATGTTGTCTTATTTTGAAAAAAAAATTTTCCGGCTTTTATATTGATATATGTCAATATACGCAAATATATAAAACAACTAATTAAACTTTGCAGTTACCGTAATAGTCAACTTAAGGTAGATGCAATGTTACAAAACGTTATGGGGACAACAAAAACAACGCCAAAATCGTTAAGGCGACTAAAATTTTTGCATATTTTGATGGTTAAATGATTTTTTATTATATTTAACATAATTATGTTCCTGAAACTTAATCATAATGTTTAATATCGTTTTCCTTGAAAAAAAAGCGTTTTTCTCCACGTTTTTCGTGGAGAAAAACGCTCTGTCGCTTTATAGTATGATTTTCACGCATGTCGCCTTATAGTTGCTCTAGGAGTATATATATATTTTTATATATTTATATATATACATTTTTATGTTGATTTTAGGTGCCTCATGAAGTTCTTACAATCTTATCACAGATCACCGCGGAAGAGCATTTAATAGGAAGTTCACGCCTTCTTCCCAACCGATGTCGCAAAACTTGCCCAGAGGTGGGGTTTGAACTACGGACCTTACGTTTCTGAGGCAAGTGTGCTACTACTGCGCCACGGCTGCTTTAATTCTGTAATAATTCTTGGTACACCTAAACAACAAAATTTTATATATATATATATATATATATATATATATATATATATATATATATATATATATATATATATATATATACATATACATATACATATACATATATATATATATATATATATATATATATATATATATATATATATATATATATATATATATATATATATATATATATATATATATATGTATATTTATATATATATGTGTATATTTAAAAATAAAAAATCTTTTAGCAATAAAACGATAATTTTTAACTTTTATTGCAAAGCAGTTTTAGCTAATGTACATCAATCAAATAATAGAATAATAATCATGCTTTCAGAATATAATGTAAAATACTTTATAAAACTACGTTTCTAGCCTCAAAAATGCAGGGAAAAGTAACTTTTTAGACAAAGAAATAAAAACTCACTTGTATGTGATTTTTAGTAATTTCTTTATGTTTCTGTAAAAATCTAAATATGTAGGGCTAAAAATCTTCTGTAGATACCAAATTTAGAAGTGCATCTAAACATTTTAGGAGCTAACGTAGATTATCTGCGTCCACTAATTTATGTAGTATACAGCTATCCAGTTGTGTTTTGAGCAATTACACGCTACAAATCAAAAAATGAATAGTATAGCGTGACTCTTTTTGAAAATGTTTTTATTAATAAAATTTAAAAAAAATCATTTTTATAGTTTATATTATTATTTATTAAAACTTATATTTAAAGTATTCAAATAAATGTTATTTAAAATATGATATTAATACTACAATGTTTTATGAGGAGGATTGTTTTCACCATCTTCTTCAATCCCCTTTTAACTTCTTTTATTTTTCTCTTCATCGATTGAAAAATTAGTCATTTACATACCTCACCACATTTGACCACCATAGCGATCTCTAGCCATGTTAAAAAATGGAGCCACATTTGATTCAATTTTTTTTTGTCGCGTCGTTGATCCAGGAAAAAGGTTATAAACTATAATAAGCGCAACTATAAAGAGCTAGCGTCTCTTCTGCAATCTACTTCATTCTTTTGTTACTCATCATTTAATTAAGTCTCATCCTTTAACTCTGACTGTTCCTAAGTACTCTAAAAGTTTTTATTCGTCTAGTTTTTTTACTCTATCATATGTTCTTTGAAATTCTCTCCCTCCATCTTGTTTTCCTGATTCATATAATTTGTCAATCTAGTCATCTGTGAGTTGTTATCTTTCTTCATAAACTTCACCTTGGCTCTTCCAGTAACTTCCAACTCTAGCAGTGGTTGCTTACAGCCTTTTTCGAAGCGAAGATTAAATAAGTAACTGTCATAATAAGTAAAAAAAAATTGCTATATAAATAATATATAATAAATTATATATATATATATTTTTTAAATAATTTGGAAGTATATAGAATTTTTTTTGTTACTCATTGTTTTTGCCTTAAAATCAAAATTTTTGTTATTGTTGCTTAATCAAGCAATATGAGTATGAGCAGACAGTTAGACTCCTACTTATACAAAAATGTTCAGAGTAGATCTGAATTAAACTTGGATCTAATTAAAGTAAATCTAAATTAAACGTTTTTGAGCAGTTTTTTTTAGGTTAAAACTTAAGTTTGCCACGACTTCCAGTCCTGTTGATATTTTGCTGTAATTAAAGTGCCAGTAGTTTGTTTAAGACCTGAGAAACATGGACATTGACATCCCTCCTCCAAGCTTCATAAATGAATACTTTATCTCATTCATTTTGTAATCTTTTGTCAAATGGTGTTCCTCTTGACAATCAAACACATCATGGCTACACTTACATAATCAGAATTTACACATCTTAATTGCAGCAAAGAGGTAAAAATACCTCTTTGCTGCAATTATGGTAATGATAATATATTCCAATCAACAGGATCACAACAAGCACGCACCTATAATCTTTGACTGTCATTATTCAAGATTAGTCAAATTGTAATGAATTGAAGTCAATTCAAGCAGAATGTATGCATTCATAAGATGAATGAAAACTAT